CCTCCTGGGCACTCACAATTAACACAATTCAAGGCCTCTACACCCTGCATTAGGGAGAAATGAAACATGAACCCTGGTGGCAGAAAAGCACTCGGGATGCTGCCATTCCTGGTGGGGCAGGATGGCTCTGAGGGCCAGGCCGTGCTGGGGCGCTCTCTGGCAGGGGAGGCAGGGCAGGGTGCCTCGGGCAGCCCCAGCAGGCCGCAGGTACCGTTTGAGGCTGGAGGAGAGCTGCCAGACATCGTCGGGATCCATCCCCGCCGGGTCCTTCCTGTGCGCCACCAGGAAAATGCTCTTCTCCTTGTATGAGGTATAGATGGTCAGGATGCCCATCATCACAAAATAGGTGCAGGGGAAGTTAAGGAAGTCAGCAAGGTGCAGGGAGAAGCAGAAATCAGGCAGAGGGGTCGCTTGGATCCCCTCAGACACTGTGGTTCAACCACCTCTCATGACACCTTGATTGCAAACAAGAATCAGTTTGGCTGATGCTCCACCAGCATGAGAAATTAACTCATAAATTTAAACTTTAATAATTTGTTATTCACTCCCTGGAAGTGCCAATGCCAGGCTGGATGGGGCTTGGAGCAACCTGGTTTAGTGGCAGTGTCCCTGCCATGGCAGGGGGTGGGAATGGATGGTCCCTTCCCACCCAAACCACTCTGGGATTCTCTGACATTTGCTGGGAAAACTTGAGGCTGAACAAGCCACAGGAGGAGTTGCTGGGCATTCCTCCTAAGCACAGACTGAGCAATTCCTTTTTCCCATTTCTGGAATTAAGTAATTTCAAGTGCTGCAAGACAAGTCACCCATCTGTTCTGAAAGCCGCCAGAACAGGCAGGAACAGGGAAATTCCTCAGGATCACGGAATTGTTTAGGTTGGGAAACATCACTGAGTCCAACCATTCCCCCAGTCCCAGCCACCACTGCTGCTCTGCACTGCTGAGCCTCATGGGTGAGCTGTGGAGCGGATCCAGCCTGAGCAGATCCCTCTGCACAGAGCTGCAGGCAGGGGTTTCCTCTTTCCCCTCTCAGTGTCTGACCTGTGCTGTCAGGGAAAAGCAAACGTGTCTGGAGCCAGACTGTGGATGGAACAGAAAAAAGGAAGTGCCTCAGACCACCCAAATTCAGGGGCATTACAGCCAGACAGGCAGGAACTCCCCTATCACATGAAAACTGTCTGATTGTCAGCTGATCTGCACACGGCAGGAACAGTAATTCCCGCAGGCCTGAAAATGGGAATATCCATAAAATGTGGGAAATCAAACCCCTGACGGGCTCTGTGAAGGATATGAGACGACACAAAAGGCAAGGACGGGTTTGGATTCGGGAAAAGGGTGCAGGTAATCCCAGATGAGAGCCACGATGGCAAAGAGGCAGGAGATTGTGCAGATGAGGAGGCGCCCGTCGATCAGACGGAAGTTCTCCACGTACTTGTACTTCTCCAGGAGCACCTGTGGGACACACGGGCAGGAAGGTGCCACGCTGCTTCTGGGAAGGGAGCAGCCCCAGGGGCACAGGGAACTGAGCAGCAGGTTTGTGGGGAGTTAATGCCTGCATCAGGCACCACAGGACAGGAGATGCCACCACAGACCTGGCCAACCCCACAAAGGGAAGGAAACCAGGGGGATACCCAGGAGGGGCAGCTCGGCAGAGACACAGAGAGAGAGCCCACCTTTTTGGCAGAGTCGTCCAAGGAGTTTTTCACAGCTGAACCATCCCACTTGTCGATTTTTACTGGCTTGTCATCGATCTTCCACTGCAATGGAAAGGGTGGAGTGAGGGCAATCCCATCCCAAGCTGTTCCTGCCCTGAGCAGCAGGACAGGGGCAGAGCAGAGAGCAAAGCTGCTTGCTTGGGAAAGCCTGGCTGGACAGAGGGAGTCACCCCAACATCTGCCTGGGCAGCTCCTGGTGGGTTCCAGCCCGGCCCCCTGGTCACAGGCTGATGTGGCTCTGGCAGCAGGTTTGGTTTTGTGTCCTCACTTGCTGCTCCTGCTGCCACCCCCAGGAAGGGACAGCTGGGCAGGATTCCTGCCTCTGGATGTGTCCAGCCACACTGCCCCACACACACTCTTGGGGGATGAGGAAAATTCGGAGAACCCCAACTGTTTTGGTACAAGGGGAGAATTAAAAGGCACAAACAGGAAATTTCAGTTAAAACCATTCTCTGGAACAAAAGCAAAGGACTCTGTCACTCTTCACATGCATTCACATCTTCTGCAGGAATGGGTCCCTCCCCAGTAACAATTCACATTTTCCAAGGGCCCACCTTCCCCTGAACTGCATTATTGCCTGGTGACACATCAGTCCGAGCCCTGAGTATCCCAACTCACCCCTTATTTCACACGGGCCAGTGACTGGAGCTGCAATCTTAGCTGCCAGCAGAGCAACCCTCAGTTTCACTGCTGTCATTTTCCTGCTCTGGAAGCTCCCAGGCTGCATGGGCTAACTGCCAGCCCAAAGAGCTCCCTTCCCTCCTCTGGAAGGAGCAAAACCCCTTTAAAATACAATGCAAAAACTCGACCAGCTTGCCCTGCAGCCACACAGGGAAAAGCCCAGCTATCCCCCAGGCCTGGCCCGAGGAAATTCTGAGGCAGTGAATGTCACTGTGTGTCCACAAGGCTTATGAGGCACAAAAGGATCTAAAAACCACGGAGAACTGGGACAGAGCTCTCACATCGGGGTATGGTACCAAACATTTCAGGTGGCTGCTCCTGGAGCATTTCCTTCCAGGGTTCATTAGCACACAGGTTAACTGGAAGCCACGGCCTTTGCCCTAAGAGAAGAGGGTCCAATTCTTTCCACTATTTATTTTTTGCTTTTACGAGCATCTACAGCATCGAGGGGGATGACCAGGGAGGGTGCTGGGGGAGGATTCTCAGGGATGAGTGGGGATGCTTAGAGCTGAGGGAGGACTCTCAGGGATGGGGGTGCTCAGGGATAGGGATGCTCAAGGATGGGCATGCTCAGGGCTGAGGGGGGATGCCCCGGGATGAGGATGCCC